CCTTAAGGCTGTACCCCTAAAGGTTCCCCTGAATATACTCCTAGTACGGGGGTTGTAGGGTTGTTGGGACCCTGTGCATGGGTCTGGGGTTCAGGGCCTTGGCATCTTGTACCAGGGTCGTGGGTTTGGGGTTTAGGGTTTGGGGTTTAGGGCTAAGGGTCTAGGGTTTAGGGTTTAGGGTTAAGGGCTTAGGTTTTAGGGTTTAGGGCTTAGGGTTTAGGGGGGTTTTGGGGTTTTGAAACCCGGCGCCGAGTCTTCGTTGAGCTCGGTGCTGCCGTGGCTGCCCCTAAAACTCGTACCCTTAAGGTTGTACCCCTATAGGTTCCCCTAAAAATGTACTCCTAATATGGCCCTCTATTCCCTTAAGGAATCCTTAAAAAGCCCCCCACAACCCGGGGTACGACCTTAAGGGTCCAAGGTGGAACCCCTAGAAACCCGAAATCCAGGTGCTCATCGGAGGCAAGCCATGCCACATCTTCGAGCCGTCAGTGAAGGCAGGCTTATGGCTTACTTGGGAGGTTCGTCGGTGATTCCTCGTAGGGTTTAGGGTTTAGGGTTTAGGGTTTAGGCTGGTACTTATAGCCCTACATAAAACCACCCATGGACCTCCAAGTAGGGTTCAGGGAGAGCATTCCCGGATACCATGAGGAGCTCTGGCTTGTGGGAGAACGATTTAAGGGTTAGCTGTGGATAAACAAGGGTTGAGGGTTTAGGGTTTAGGGTTTAGGGGGCTTCCGCGTTCCCACAACTTTTGGGAGTCTCTGGGCAATCCTTCCACCCCAGCCTTCCACAGAAAGTGCTCAAGCGTTCTAGGGCTTTTGATGAGGAAAGCTCGTGACGAACCCAATAACCTAGACCAGCAGCGATCATTGCGTCGGTCCAGCTGTGAAAGAAGGCCACAACCCTAACCAGGGGATAAGGGCCTACTCTGGGTCCTAGCCCTAAACCCTAAACCCTAAACACCCCCCAAAAAACACCTAAGCCCCTAAACGCTGAACCTAGGCCTACTTGGAGGTTCATGGTACTTCTTAACCAAGTAAAAAATTATAACTGTACTTATAATTGTGCTTATAACCATATTTGGGCACTTAAGGGGCTTAGATTAGAACGTACAGTCATAATTGGTTAATAAGTACCCTAAGCCCTAAACCCTAAACCCTAAAGCCTAAACCCGAAACCCTAAACCCTAAACCCTATTGGGTAATCAGAACCCTGAACCTCCAAGTAGGAAGTTGTGAGCCAAGATGGCTACGTCAGGATGGCGAGATGACTGTGTACTCCCCCGCTTTGCCATGGCGTGCGAGCCTTGCAAGGGTTCGGGGTTTAGGGCTGCAACCCTAATCATCAACCCTAAACCCCAAACCCCAACCCCAAACCCTAAACCCTAATCCCTAAACCCCAAGCCCTAAACCCTAAACCCTAAACCCAAAACCCCGCAGGCTTTGGGATTTCGTAGCTTTCGGGCCTGGGCATGCGAGAAGGATGTAGATCCAGGGCTGAAATGTCTCGGAGACTTCGATATCCGTTGCCCAGGCCCCTGGGAGGAACACTTAAGGGGATCTACTTTGCTATTTGGTTTAGGGTTTAGGGTTTAGGGTTTAGGGTTTAGGGTTTAGGGTTTAGGATTTAGGGTCTTCAGAACCCCCCCCCAACACAAGAAAACAACCAAAAACAACAAATTAAAACATACTCTTCCTTATACGGGCAACATACGGATTGAAATGCTTCATGCTTTGGGTGGTTCTGAAGCAAATAGTAGATTATCATTATTTGTTCAAGGCCCCCCCCCCCCCCCAAAAAAAAAAAAAAAAAAATAAAAAATTGCGAAAAACACTCTTCCTTATAAGGGCAATATAGGGATCATTATCTTGTGTGTTTTTTGGGGAGTTTGAAGCAAATAGTAGATTAGGGTACGACAGGGGCCCGACTGTGATTTGAAAGTGGCCTTCATTTGGGAGCCCAGCGGATCCTGTGGGCAACTAGACCTACATTAAGCCCTAAACGCAAAGCCTTCAACTCGAAACCCTGAACCCTGAACCCTAAACCCTAAACCCCAACTCCTCTACTCTTCAGACCCGAGCCCTATAAGCCTAAACCCTACAGTAAGCCGCCCCCCACCGCAGCGCCTACCAAGTTCGAGCCGGCTACGACGTGGAAGTGGTTTTTACATCAGGCCAGGCCCTCTCCAGCGATGCTGATTGGTTTTGAAGGGGCTGAAACTTGTTTGGGGAGCCGAAGCCTTCAGCACTCTAAGCACTCTAAGCCCTCTAAGAACTCTAAGCCCCCTAAGCCCCCTAAGCCCCCTAAGCCCGCTAAGCCCCCTAAGCCCCAACCCTAAGAGCCCTAAGCCCTCAGTCCTCAGCCCGAAGCCCTAAACTCAAGGCTCAGGCCGCCCCCCAGTGCTCCACATCTGCAGGTCGCTAGCACCCCCAAAGAGGGCCCAGGACCGGTAGTTCATAAGAAAAGACAGTTGCAAAATGAGAAAGGCCAGCCGTGCGAGGCTGGGTTAGGATTTGCGTTTATCCCTTTTTGAGATTTAGAAGCCTGTGGAGGGTGCTCCATGGTCTCGTACATTGACGAGCACACACTCATGCTGTAGACTCCGTGCGTCCCTTCAACGTGGAGACCAGGTAACACCTGCTTCTGAGTGCGGCGCGATGAGAACACAGACATGTAGCCCGTAAGGCTCTCAGGTGTGTTTTCATCCTACCGAAAAATAAGTACTTGTGTAATCCTTGAGAAAAGGGGAATAGACAGGGTGCCTCATTCTCAAGACCCCCTGGTTCTTAGTAGGGAATGAGGGAATTAGGGCCCCTATATCATATATCTGCCCTATATATACCCTTTAAGGGTACCTCATTCCCCCATTCCTACCAAGAACCAGAAATTCCCTAAACCCTAAACCCTAAACCCTAAACCCTAAACCCTAAACCCTAAACCCTAAACCCTAAACCCTAAACCCTCAACCCTACAAAGAACCAGCCAGAAGAACCAGCAAGTGCCACCCGCCGGGAGGCCACATCGCCAAGCTGCGGCAAGGCAAGTATCGCACCTTCGACAGGCGGCCAGTTCCCCGGGTTTAGGGGTTTAGGGGTTTAGGGGTTTAGGGGTTTAGGGGTTTAGGGGTTTAGGGGTTTAGGGGTTTAGGGGTTTAGGGGTTTAGGGGTTTAGGGGTTTAGGGTTTAGGGTTTAGGGTTTAGGCGGGTTTAGGGTTTAGGGTTTAGGGTTCCCTAAACCCAGTTAGGGCTGTCCGAAAATGGGGGGTACCCTTTTTGGGGGCCTCTTTAACTTTAAGGGGATTCTATTCTACTTGGGGGTATAACCGGGGTACCCCTATTTCGGGAAACGCCTGCAGTCGTAGGCAACAAGAGACCACTTTGAACCTTGAACCTGTAATGAAACCCCCCTAAACCCTAACCCTAAACCCTAAACCCTAAACCCTACACCCTACACCCTAAACCCTAAACCCTAAACCCTAAACCCCAAACCCCAAACCCCAAACCCTAAACCCTAAACCCTACACCCTACACCCCAGAAAAGAACCCGGGATTTGTTATTGGGAGTTACCTATGGGTTTAGGGTTGTTTTAGGGGTTTAGGGGTTTAGGGGTTTAGGGTTTAGGGGTTTAGGGTTAGGGTTGAGGGCTGGGGTTTAGGGTTTTACCTGCAGAGCCACACTGACACCCTGCCAGTGTGACGCCAACCGTCACCTACTTTCCGACTCGAGCGACGCCGGTCATTCACAACGCCCGCGTCCGAGCTTCCCAGAGCCCTAAACCCCTCCACCCTAAGCCCTAAGCCCTAAGCCCTAAGCCCTAAGCCCTAAGCCCTAAGCCCTAAGCCCTAAGCCCTAAGCCCTAAGCCCTAAAACCCTCCACCCTAAGCCCTAAGCCCTAAGCCCTCAGCCCTAAGCCCTAAGCCCTAAGCCCTAAGCTAAGCCCTAAGCCCTAAGCCCTAAACCCAAAACCTCCAGCCAAACCCCGTTAACAAGCCGTAGAAACCTCGTTGAGCCTTGGCCGCCTTGCACCCCTCAACGCATCTTAGAGCCCGGGACCTGCAACCCGAGTTCCTAGCCTTTAGGGTTCCGGAATTAGGGTTTAGGGTTTAGGGTTTAGGGTTTAGCGTTTAGGGTTTAGGGTTTAGCTTGAGGTCTCTCGCCCTCCCAAAGAAAGAACAGCAAGCCAGAAGGGGGTTTACGATAATAGGGGGTACCTTTTTGGGCTCCTTAGCACAAGGAAATCCTACTCTTTGGGGGTCTATGTTAGGGGTCCCCTCTTTTCGTAAACCCATAAGGGCTATAAACCCTTTAGACCGCAGAAGCCCCCCACAAATCCTGTAAGGCCCTATAAGCCCCAAATCCCTGAACCCTAACCCTAAACCCTAAAATGTCTCATGGGGCTGATGCGACCTGGACGGGAAGCCCGAAGCCCCCAAACCCTAAAGACCTGCAGTCACCATAACCCTCCCGGAAAAATGGCCCTATAAGTCCTTGAAGTTTCATAGGCCTTTCCCGCAACCCTAAACCCTAAACCCTAAACCCTAAACCCGAAACCCTAAACCCTAAACCCGAAACCGCAAACCCGAAAGCCCCCTTTGAAGTTTCACAAGCCTTTGCAGGCGGGTAGACCCTATATAGGGCCGTTTAAGCCGCAGACTTCCCTCTTTCTGCTGAGGTGACCTGGGAAGGAAGCTTGCTGAAGCAGCTGGAGCTGAACCAGCAGGAAATCTTTGAAGACACAGGCCGGGGCTCCGAGGGGCTTAGGGGCTTAGGGGTCTTCGGCTTGAAGGCTTTCAGGGTTTTGGGGTTTAGGGTTCAGGGTTTAGGGTTTAGGGTTTAGGGTTAAGGGGGTGTCTTGATGCGTTGGCTTCATTTCCGACTGGCTAGGCCGGCAGGTTCGCGGAAGGATGCCAGGGGTTGCGGCCAAAGAGGGTCAACTTGAGTGCTGATGCATGAGGGTTCTGGGGTCTACGTGCTTCTTGGCTCAGGGGCCAACCCACAAGGCGAAGCCCAGGCAGCGCCAGAGTTTTGGAGATACTGCGGCGCCTTTCACAGCTCGGGTAGCGATGGGCCCCGTGCTCCGCGGATTTCTGTGCTTCGCGGCAGCCCAGGGTGCCTTGCAGATGCGCGAGGGCGCGTTGCGCGAGGGCGCGTCGCAGGGAAGGACGGTCTTGGATGAGCTCCTTAAGGCCTTCAAGAGTGACAAGGGCCTCCTCCTCCGAGCCACGGAGACTTGGCAGCCCAGTGGTACCCTTTGCTTTCATTTTTTTCTTCGGGGTTATATGGGTTATGGTATAAGGTCACTAACCCCAACAAAAGGGTGTACGCTTATTCTAATATGGTTAATTACTGGGCTGCCAAGGAGAATTTCTCAAACTTTTCTTCTCAGTGGCCCCAGTCAGCATCTGCGCTCAGATGGGACTTGCCTCCAGCCCTGTACGTCGTGAAGTGGGATACGGAGGTCACCGGCCTGGTTTTGCAGCCAAAGATTGAAGTTGAGTGCGCTTACCCTGTCAACGGCAATTCCGAATTTCGGCGGGATGTGCAAGACCGGAAGGACTTGTGTGGGCGCACCACCAATCCTGCGGCAGGACGCGAAGCGACCAACATGAGCGGTGCTTGCAACTTGACTTCACCAAAAGACTATGCCCAGGCATATTTCAACATTCCTCAACGCCATCTCCTTGGCTTTCCGGGCTTTTGGAACCTGAACTGGGCAACTTGCCATTTCGGCACGGTCCCGGAGGCCCTCGAAGCACAAAAGGCTTTGTGGCAGCTTGCAACCGAGCTGCCCCCCGCCACCACGGCCCCGCAATGGCTTCGAAACGCATCCAAGGTGGGGTTTGCTCTAACGGCTTTCAACGAGATCGTCGTGGCTCCGGTCCACTCCACAGATGTTCGGGCTGTCTTTTGGGCTCATGCTGGTCCCTTCCGAGACCCCGGCGCAAGTGACTGGAAGGCTTGCAAGCTACTGGGACCCAGAGTAGGCGCTCATTCCTTTTTTAGGGCTTGGGCTCCCTTAGAAACCCCTTCTAAGCAAAAGAAAGAAGGCTAAACCCTAAACCCTAAACCCTAAACCCTGAACCCTGAACCCTAAACCCTAAACCCCAAACCTAAACCCTAAACACCCAGGCTCGCAGCGTTCCTCAAGACAAACCGCACCTGGCCAGTCATCGAGGTGGCCGACGTCATCCTCGAGAGGCCGACCTCCAACTGCGAGGTGGGGGTTTAGGGTTTAGGGTTTAGGGTTTAGGGTTGAAGGGTTCCCTAAGATAGACCCAGAAAATAGTAAGAAGAATAGGATTCTCTCAGAACAAGGACCCCAAACAGAAAACGAAAGTCGGGTTCCCTGATAAACAGGACCCCAAAATGGTACCCCGAATTCCGACAAAAAACAAAAGCAGGTGAAGTTCGACGCGACTTTCCTTGGCTATTATGCCACCAACTCGAGCTGCTTGGTAGCCCGGTGTGGTGCCCTTCGCCCTCTTTCTTTGGTTCTGAGTCCCCTTATACAGTAACCAACCCCCAAAAGGGGTGCCGGTATTGTAGTATGGCTAAACCCTAAACCCTACCCTAAATCTTAAACCCTAAACCCTAAACCCAAAACCCTAAACCCTCAACCCTCAGCCCTAAACCCTAAACCCTACTGGGCTACCAGAGGCTGCCTCACGGGATTCACAGAGGCCGCGAAGAGCTTAGAGCAGCAAGGGCCAGCTCAGGCAGCGAGCATCTTTCGGCAGCGCGAAGCAGCCGACTTTCTCAAAGCCACCGAGAAGGTTTGTGGTGAAGTCATCAGGGTTTAGGGTTTAGGGTTTAGGGCTACTTCTTGGCAGCTTCCGGGGCGCTTGGCTTTGCAAGGCTGCCTAGACTGCGGCCTCGAACCTGCCAGGTGAAAAAGACGACCCCGTAGCGCCCTGCACAACGGTATCAGGGGGGTATATAGGGAGGGGCATAAGGGGGGTAGAAGGGGGGTAAGTCTAAGAGTTTTGAGAGCCATACTTACCTGCCAGTATGCAATGGTATGGGCCATCATAGGGTAGTTTCATGGGCCCTTAGCATGGTCCCTTACCCTCTTTAAAGGGTTCTGATGTATGGGCCCTTGGGTTGGTATATAAGGGGTATATAAGAGGCCCGTTCAAGGGCCCATACTAAGGGTCCATGAACCTACCCTAAGATAAGACGACCCCATAGCACCCTACGCCACCCCCTTGAATCTCCTGCGCCCATCCTGCATTCTACCCTGTAATTTCCAAACCCTGTCTACGAAGGTTCTGGGGGTATGGGGGAGCTGTGCCAAGGTGGTTTGCTTAGGTTAGGGCTTGGGATTCAGGGTTTTTGAGGATCCTAGCGTCGTATGGCTGGCCAGAGCCAGTAGTGGGCCCCGAGCCCCCCGAGCAATTGTTACACATGCCATACTGCCCAACGTTCTGGGACCATGAGTTAGCCTAGAGCCCTACGATTTCGGTACCTGGACTCTCTAGGACCGAAGCAAAAAGCCCAAAACCAAAACCCGAAAAATCCCTAGACTCTAAACCCTAACCTCTATAAATTCCAAAATCCGAGGACCCCGAACCGCAAAGACTCATAAGTCATAAGTCCGAATCCCAAACCCTCAGAAGCAAAACCCGCAAAGCTCTAAGCCCCGAAGCCTACACCCAATATGTGACATGATATGACATGACCTGATATGAAATGATATTGAATTGTGGTAAGAATGATATGACATGAGATGACATGGTATTCTTATGACATCTCTGAGATCTGATCGTAGTTCTTGGGCTTTGGCGGTGGAGGCCTTCAGGACCTCGCGGGTTAAGTGGTGTAGGGCTTTTAGAGTGTAGGGGTGAGGGTTTGGGGTTTAGGGTTTAGTGTTTAGGGTTTAGGGTTGAGGCTTTAGGGTTTAGCCCCTACAGCCCGTAAACCTGTCGGTTCTTCAGCGCTGAAGCTGTCCTTGCTGCGCAGGCGAGAAGCGAAATGCCACGGAGATTATGCACGCCTACCTTGGCACAGGACTCTTAGTAGCTGAGTGAGTACACTTGACACTTTTTGGGATACTATAATCTCTACAAGACTAGAAGGGTACACTTTTTGGGGGCTTATGAACTCAGCAACCAAGGACTGGAGGTCTTGTCTGACAAAGGCCGGGGGCCCGCCAGGGTGGAGCGCAGGCGTTCATGGTTCAGGGTTTCTAGTACTTTGCCGAAGAGCCACCCAAAGAAAACAGAATATTCTTCCTTGCAGGGGTAGTATGGGGGTTGTTATCTTTAAGTTTGGGGGTTCTTAAGCAAATCTTAGGTTTTGGGTCCCAGTGCAGATGGGGGTTGGGTGGGTGTCTATGTGCGGCTGAAGCAAGCCATGACTCCCGTATCTTCTGCCATTCAGCGGGCGCGCCTTGGGCGTATTCTCCCTCCGCCATGCACTACACACCCCTAAATCTAAAGGGCTGTCGCCCACAGCCGGGCACGCCCACCAGCAGCAGGACAACGGCAGCAAGCACAGCAGCAACGACAACAACAACAACAACAACAACAACAACAACAACAACAACAACAACAACAACAACAACAACAACAACAACAACAACAACAACAACAAACAACAACAACAACAACAACAACAACAAACAACAACAACAACAACAACAACAACAACAACAACAACAACAACAACAACAACAACAACAACAACAACAACGACAACGACAACGACAACGACAACGACAACGACAACAACAACAACAACAACAACAACAACAACAACAACAACAACAACAACAACAACAACAACAACAACAACAACAACAACAACAACAACAACAACAACAACAGCAAGAACAACAACAACAACAACAACAGCATCAACAACAGCAACAACAGCAACAACAACAGCAGCAGCAACAACAACAACAACAACAACAACAACAAGAACAAAAAACAACAGCAGCAGCAACAGCAACAGCAACAGCAACAGCAACAACAACAACAACAACAACAACAACAGCAACAACAACAACAACAACAACAACAACAGCAACAACAACAACAACAACAACAACAACAACAACAACAACAACAACAACAACAACAACAACAACAACAACAAGAAGCACAAGCGACGGCGCGCCAACGAAGCCTCGATGATGCCACCCTGGCCCCCCACAAAACAACGGCGCGCGCGCACGCGCGCGCGCGCGCGCGCGCGCGCGCGCGGGAACTGGTGCGTTTTCCGCGCGCGCGCGCGCGTGTGTGCGCGCATGTCGAGTGCCATGTTATGGAGTTGTGCCAGCATCCTTCGAAATCCTGCCGCCGCCCGAAACCCTTTCCGTATCCACTGATGCTGCTGATGCTCGCCCCCCGGTTTTTTAAAGAGAAACGAAGCCTCGATGATGCGCGCCCTGGCCCCCCGCCCGGCCGCGCATCATGAGCATCAGCGGCTCCGGCCTCCAGGCATGCATGGCTTATAGGAGCATATGCCGGCCTCAAAACGGAAATGTCCGTAACAGCACGAAAACCACGGTATTTACAGCGATTTCTGTATTTTCCAAGCTCTCAGCCGCATCCGAAACCCAAAACCCAACCCGCTGATGCTCATGATGCGCGCTCTTGTGGGGGTCCTTTGCGGTGCCAATGCCACCCAAAAAACATCAGCAACGCGTATTTGGCCAAAATTGCAAAAGAGAGTCGATGATGCTCTCCGGGGTCGTTTTTGGGACCCCCCATGGGGCACCCAAAAAATGCGTCCAGGAGCCCAAATTCGGTGGCAAATAGCGCGTTTTTCGCGATAAAAAATTGTACCTGAAAATTGATGCCCTTCGGGGGCCGCATTTGGGGCCGGATGTTGGGGAGCCAACCGGGTCGGCGGCTTAGCCGGCCCCCGTCATAGCTAAAGCTAGGGCTGGCGCCTAACGGCGTCGGACCACGGGCGTGCCCGGATTTAAGAGCCTCCGGCTTGCCGCCGACCCCGGGTGGGGGGGGGGGGGGGGGGGGGGGGGGGGGGGGGTGGGGGGTGGCGGGGGCTTGGCGGGGGCTGGGGCCCGCTCTCGCTGTTCTTCGGTGATTCCGGGACACAAAGCCAAAAAGCCCCAAAAGGTCCACGGAAAGCTTGGTGTGAAGAGCCGGTGTTTTTGAGGGGTGTCGAAGGGTTGCCCAGTTACGGGGTTTCGGGTTTGGGGCTTATGCGGGACTCCAATGCGGACAGAGAGGGTTTAGGGTTTGGGGTTTAGGGTTTAGGGTTTAGGGTTTTAGGGTCCATTAGGGTATATAAGGGTTCCGGGACTGAGGGCCCACATCAAAAGGGACCACGTGGCCACGTGGCTACCCTGCGTCACCCGAGGTGGCCGCGAGGAGTTTCGATGCGACATCCTCGAGACACCCACGATGTTCGATGGAGCCGGGGGGCCCAGAATTTAGGGTTTTGAGGGTTTTGAGGGTTTTGAGGGTTTTGAGGGTTTTTTGGGTTTAGGGTTTAGGGTTTTAGGGTCCTAGGGTTTGAGGTTTGGGGGTTCTGGGGTCTTGGGGTTGAGGGTTTAGGGTGTAGGGTTTCAGGGAGTTCGGGAGGGTTGTGAGCTTCAGGAAGTTTGTGCGCGCTATATCGGGACCAGGGTCTTAGGAGGTTTTTGGCCCTACACCCCGAGCCCTAAACCCTAAACCCTAAACCCTAAACCCTAAACCCTAAACCCTAAACCCTAAACCCTAAACCCGAAACCCGAAACCCGAAACCCTAAACCGGGGTTTTGGCGGGGTCCTAAGCCCCTGACCCCCCGCTTCAATTCCCCACATCTTGACACTGATAGCTCCATCATCTGCGCCCAGGTGTGCGAGGTGTCTGTGGGCACTCCTGCAGGTCCCCTGCTTTGGGGTTTTAGGGTTTGGAGTTTAGGGTTCAGGGTAGTAGAACGGCATAGCGGCATAGCCTGTAAGTTGCAGCAAAAGCTCATAGCAGCACTTCTTCAAGTTGTCTTTAGGACTCGTGTCAAGGCTTTAAAGGGGGGGTCTAGCCTTTTTATGCTAGGACCCAGAGTAGGCCCTTATTCTTCCCGAATGTGTGGTCGAAGTTCTTTGTACGCCCCTATCCGAACTCCTCCTCCCTCGTGTCGTGTCCTGTCTTCGTCTCATGTCCTCGTGTCGTCTCTTCGTGTCCTATCTTCATGTCGTGTCTTTGTGTCCCATCCTTTTCTCATGTTCTGTCTTTGTGTTGTGTTCTTGTGTCGTGTCTTTATTTCGTGCCTTTGCTAGGGGCCGCCTTAAAATAGCAACCATGACAGGGCGCAAGTCTAGAGAATTTGCCAAATCCCTGAACCCTATTAGCCCTAAACCCCAAACTGCCCATGCCCATGCCAGAGAGTCCGAGAGTATCCCATGCACCGTGCGCTCGGGATGTGAAACCTGGCATGCGCAGGCTGCTGAAGAGTCCTAATGCGCCAGACCCTAAACCCTAAACCCTAAATCCTAAACCCTAAACCCTAAACCCTAAACCCTAAGCCCTAAACCCTTAAGACCCTTAACCCCAAGCAGGCTACTACAACTTCACCTACGTCCTCCAAGATGCCAAAACGGGCGAAGGCTATGGAAGGAATAGTTGGGAGGCCAGCTGGGCTGCTTGCGAATCTAAGGCCTAAACCCTAAACCCTAAACCCTCAACCCTCAACCCTCAACCATAAACCCTGAATACGGTCCCCTACCTCTCTGAGACGGTTCTGAAGTATGGGCCCTTTGGGCTGTGTTGGGTATATAAGGGGCATGTTCGCGGTCCCCTTTTAAGTACCCTTAGAGAGAAAGGTGACAGAGCCCCAGTGAGCCTTGGC